ATTTAAACGGAACAGTAGAGAAAATCAGATCTGTACCTGTCTCTTATACACATCTAGATGTGTATAAGAGAGAGTATATATATATATATATATATATATATAACTCAGCTGGTACATAGCAATAGTTAACATTTTTGGGTGGGGAACAATTCAAAATTGTTATCATTGACACTCTAGAAACTGAATTGGATTAATGTTATAGCCTTTTAGTTTTTTGAGCATTTTAGTAGTCGTCCATAATGGATGACAGTTTATCTCCATTTATATATCCTTTATATAATTTGTGTATACACAAATTATCTCCCTTTATTTATATGTGTTTACATATAATATAGATACATACATATATATATGTACATATATACATGTATGTGTATGTATATATGTATATATAGGTATGTATATGTATATATAGGTATATATGTATATATGTATATACATGTATATATATATGTATATATAGTACTTTTTAGTTTGCCAAGTAGCAGCCCTTCTGTTGCGCACATATTGAGTTTTAATCCTGATATTTTACAAAAAGAGTTCATATTTTCAAAGGAATTTTTAACGCTGACCACTGTGTTGCAGAAAATAGTTGTCATCTGTGAACCGTGTTAATTTTAGCTCACAATGTTTTCTTTATTAGCCGGTATTGTGATTCCCTTAAATGCTTCTGTCATTGCGTATATTAATTGATAATATTTCTGCTGCTAAAATAAAAAGTAGAGGCGATACGGGGCAGTCTTGATTCACCCCCCTTTTTCAAATCAAAATAATTGATTAAAAACCCATTATCAGTGATGTGGCTGCTTGCACAAAATAGCGCCACCAATATTATGTTCGCTTGTATATTGGATTATGTCCACTATTATTCGAATATTTTCGGAAATACCTCTACCGTATATATATCCAGTTTGGTCCATTTTGTCTATTGCTACTTTACATTCTTCCAATTTTATTGGGCCTTTTGTTTTTGTTCATTGTTTAAGCTTGGAATTACCTTATCGAGAACTTCGTTTAGATATTTATCAATATTCTCTTGAAATATATTTTCATCATCGTAAAGATTGGTGTAGAAAGAAAATTTCTTATCCCTGATTTTATGCGGAGCAGTAAAAAACTCTCCTATAAAAAAATAACAGAAAAATATAAATCTAAGGAGGAAAGGAATAATAAATGCAATTAAAGCTATAGTTCGCATACTTGTTGATCCATAATATTTTTTACTTGTATGGTACAGGTATGCCCTGCATCATGTCCCGTAAGTTTCATCTGCGTCTTTACAAGACCTACTAGTAAGCTAGCAGCGAATGCATAATAATTTGTTTCTATAGGTAGGCTACCCTTGATAAAAGATAGATGTACATAATGAATGAAAGTGTTCTATTCCATCCATTATAGTGCTAAATGATACAAGCTCCAGTATAGCTAATAAGCAATTTTCCCAGCTAACAATGATATTGTACGTAATGATAACGTTACAGTTTGTCACAACACTCTGTGTTCGAAGATATTATATGTATATGTATGGCCATATACACCGGAAAATGATTAGCTACCGCTCAACATGATTCGTGCTTATCGTGTCATATTTAAATATGTAGGTGGAACTGCTTTTGGATTGGTTAACTCTCAATTACACGGATCTCGTCACGACTACCAATAGTGCGAGGAACTATAACAATTTCATTATATAGTCCGATCGCATCTGGCATTGTATCACAATTATTATACAATGGACCATGGCATTATGTAACAGATTTGATCGAACTGCCAAATTGGAAGAGTGCGTCCCGTCCTTCAGCTTCGCCTGACAGTTATTTTTTTTTATCCTGTATAGTATACACATTTTGAAAAGAAACATTCATTGGACGAGCGTGTGAAATAAATATGGAGCCGTTTTACAATTATATTGATTACAGCTATGATAATGAATACAACAGTAACTCTACGATCAACTATGAAAAGAAACACTTAATAGAGGTTCCTCTGACGATCAAAGTTACATTGGCAATTGTATATATCTGTATGATGCTTATCTGCGGGATTGGCAACCTCTTATTATGTTGTGTGATAATTCGATACAGGCGTATGCGAACAACCACAAATATCTTGATAGGAAACCTAGCTTGGTCTGACTTTCTAATCGCTGTGATATGTATCCCGTTTAATTTTCATCACTATACAACGCTATCGTGGCCTTACGGAGAAGCGGTTTGTATGATGGTGAATTACGTCAAAAACGCGTCACTTTACGTTTCCACTAATTCCCTCCTCGTAATGGCTCTTGACAGGTATGTTGGCCGATTTGTTCGTTATTTTAAACATACTTTAAACATTAAAAAACAGGGTTACATGGTGATCACCAAACTGTTTATATAATTCCACGTCCTTTATTATTTTTACCAGCAATATGAACATTTTCGCATTTTCAGTAATAGGCCTATTTTATCATAATAATGATGTGTCGCATGAATGAAACGCATTCAAAAGAATGAAAACGTAAATGCAGTTGTAGTCACCACAAAGCCTGCACTATGCCTAGTGGTAACAATGGAATCTGTAGCTATAGGCCCTACTCTTTATCCATGTTTTGCCATGCAGATGGGAAATATCCCAGCTTTTAGTAGGTCTAACTGGCCCTACGGTATCATGCTTGTTGTGATTCTTTATTCTTTAAATTCTCATTAACTAAAGATTGTTACTTAAATCTAATATAATCTTGAAAATAATTTAATGTGCTTGATTTTGTATTGGCTTATTTTAATAAATTATTAGCATTAAAATGAAAAATTAAGAGAAACAATTTCTCGTCCACTTTTAAAGTTTTATATTTGTTTTGAAGGGGGTTTCTTTGGTAGCAACATCTATTAATGGTTTTATCAAGCTTGAAATTCTTATAATATAGACCTACCTTTCAGGGTGACACTATGTAAGAAATAATTTAATTTTCTCCATGGTCACACATACCTGTAACAACTCTTCTACTTCGATCAGCTTAACTTTTATTTCGCTGAGGTAAATCAACTTTACAACATAACATTGGCAAATTTCGCATAAATTTTTAACATAATTTTTGCTTTATTCAGGCCTATTTATTTACAACTGCAGTAGATGTTGGTAATTTACTGTTCTGTAACAAATGTAAGTGCTCATCATCAAAAAGAAAATGTGCTGGTATATTTTTCATGCCTTGGAGGCAACTGTTGATGCAGTTAATGCACTTTCATGCAGGGTGTTCTATTGCTTGATTTCTCGAGGGGAAAAATAATATACATCATAAAATATGCCATCAATCATACTATAATTCCACGCTAAGTAGATAGATAAAAAAAGGGAATAGAAGTCGTTGACTTTAGTTTAATACCAGTAAATAGCTATGGGCCCTTTTCAAGTAAATTAGCAAAATAGACGTTTATCATAGTTAATGAATAGCTAAGGTAATACCGTACACTTAATCTAGACCACAATATTATAGGAAAGGCATTCACAATAACTTGTATTGGATTTGAAATGTAATTTAGTCCAACGACTAGGGATGCCCAGGTGTAAGGGGATTGGGGACCCAACAAAATCAACAATTTCAGTTGCAAAGCAACAATTTCAGCAATGCAAAGCAACGATAATTATAATATATATCAAAGCCAAATATGGCATTGTATACGTTACAACCAGAACTACCGACCTTTTGTCCGGGGTTTTTAGTCCTTGGAGGTCAATTGATGGATCGCTTTGCTCTCTGGAAGCATTACTATAATAAGACTAAATTATAGCAACCCAAATTAGTCAATACCAAAACTGCTGACTTTCCCGGAAATTTTATCATTGCACCCTGATTAGGTG